TGAGTGATATTTATGTGAGCTATTGTACTTTCATATAGGGGTTGTGTATGTATATTGTTTATCACAAACCATGTTTAACACATTTTTCTGATTTATTACGTGCAAGATTCAAAAACCTGAGAATCTTAAAACACATCATATAACTAGTATGAACAGTATATGTTTATTATATAAGTAGTACATAACTGTTTATTCTTGTTGTATACTGTTTATTATATTTACATAGTATGAACAATATGTGTTCATTATATGGACTGAATATAAAAATGAACTGTTGTGTTATATAACGAGTATGAATAGTAGTTGTTCATTACATGAACATTTGTTATTTCTGTCCTAGTGTTCACTATTGCAAATATGAACACGTTATATGTTCGTTATATGGACTGGAGGTAACATGAAAAACTACTGTTCATTATCTAGACTAAAAATAAAAAGAGCAGCTACTCTATGAATAGATAACGTGAATAAGTAATGCATCATGAAAACTAAATACAACATGAACAGCTACTGGAATGAACATCTAATGTAAATAGAAATGTGTCGTAGAAAACATAGCACTGAATAAATCCAAGGCAAAAGGTTTAACAAAAACATGCAGCTTACAACTTTTTACAAGTACTGCTTAGAGGCCAACTGTCCACATTATTGGATAAAACTGCTTAGACTTTATTGGATACACAACAATTAACGTAAGATGGTGCTCTGTCGCCGTTCTATGACTTGCATCTTGGTCGTGTATACAAGTTAAAACATAATGGCTCAATCAAAATAAGGATGTAAATGATTAACAATTACTATGTCGAAGATCACCTTCCATGTCGGGCTGGATAGAGCCGTATCTCAATGGATTAGGATGTCTAGTATCAGTGGGCAACAACACAAAAGAGTTTACAATGAAGTTCATGAATTTCTGTGAAAAAATAAAATGAAGGAAGAGGTTGAGATTTATATGATCTATAGGCTCGACAGAGATAACAAGCAAATTAACACATATGATCAATACAATGAACTAAAACATCTAAATTATCAATATAACGAGCTACAAAACCACTAACAATGATAATTAAAAAGACGATGATATATACTGGAATGAACATCTACTAATTCATATACCTAGTGTGAACATCTACTGTTCGTTATGTTAACTAGTGTCTGTGATATATCGCTACTTGGAGTCATGCATGCAGCAACCTGATGAACATCACCATCATTCTATTCCACATAAGATATTTACACAACACATGTTTAGGATGATGTATGTCTGGTATTTACTGTCAATTAAAAGCTTTACACATTTTATGAAATGCATTTCCACATTAAATATGAACCTAAAAGGGCACTTGTTTTTCTTTTGATCTCCTGTAACCTAATTGGCCACTAAGACCATAGATGACTTGGTTATCATGTGGTAGTTGCTGTGAAGCTAAATTGTTTCATTCTGTTATATGAAGCAATTACAAATTCTTGCTTAGTTTCAATCGACTGCATGATCTCTTGGTTTTGCTTAGAGCAGTTGAATACACTATTCACATTCTAAGTGTGTGTGTTTATGCATTATAAACTTCACACAAATTAGGGTATTTTTAACAAAGCTTTGTATGCGTCAGTTAATAACCATTTTTAAGTTATGTGAAACCTGTTAAATGAAATTGGTATATATTTTTATGTATATTGTGTTACCTTATACTTCATATATATGTTTTTAATACACATTACATATGTTGTTTTTATTATCGTATTTTGGTTGTTTTTGCCAAGGAATGCATGAGGGTGATGCGTAAAAAAATTGCTGATCTTTATTTTGGAAGAGTGGAGGCAGACTTGATGATGGATTCATTCATTGAACGTTTCCTTGGTGATACGGATTTTGAAGAATTCAAGATCAAATTAGCTTGTTTGTTTAAAGGTAGCAAGTGGGATGCACCCCCTGCTACGAGCCAAGTCCCTGACCTGCCTATTGTTGAGGTAACACCTCCTAAGTTGTCAACCATTCATGTTCCAGATTTGCTCTCACTCTTGTCTCAATTCTGGACGAGCCCTTCGGTGATTGCGGAGGTTGATAGGGCATCCAATGAGAAATCGATACAGATAACGAAGAAAAACATGAGATTTACACGCTCTGTTCAAAAGGAGACGGTCGGGATTCCGTCATTACAAGTACAGAGGGAGAAAGTTGGGATATTACGGAGTAGAAGTGGTGATCAGACTGAGTTTCGGAAAAGTAAGATATGTAAGCGAGCGGAAAGCAGTGACAAAACAATTGATTTGTATGGAGGTATCGAGCCACCATCATTTGATTTGGGGATAAGTCCATCGGGTTCACATGTAGTTGCTGTTGGGGATGCGTTGACTACATCGTCAATGCAGGAGGGTGCGAGGCCGACGTTGTCGAAGAGGGATCCGAAGCTGAGTTTCAAGCTACGTTCACCTTATGTTACGCGTGTTGTTACATTCGACGTAACAAGTGATGAACGGAAGTTACATGATTGGATTTTGAGGGGGATTGGCGGAATATTGTAAGTTGTAATTTAACTTTTCTTATTTAATTTAATGTATTTTTTTACGTAAATATCTGGGTTGTATGTTTTCAATTATTTAATGTTTTAATATTAATACCCAGGGAACCTGTTTTCGTGACCACATACGGAAGAACAATAACACGGCAGGTGTTGCAATCCCTTGCAACCCAGTCCGTAGTATGCCGAGATGTGTTGGATGTGTGGTCGACGGTACTAAACCGAGATGAGAGATTGCAGAGCAATGAATCCCCCAGACGCTATTTCTTTACGACAAGCGTTTCGATGACATCATTCAACATACACCTTTTTTTGTCATACCATTATATAACATCCATTGTCTTCAATACAACTTATGGATTTGTTATGGGTGCAAATGGATCGGACCATGAGGGACCAGACCTTGGATATTCACCGGAGATATGAGACTTTCAAACACAACCTGTCAAGTTGCACAAACAATGATAGGGAGCTCGTTAGTACGTGCAACGTTGACATTGTACGTATATAACATTCGTTGGTAATATTATCATAAAATAAAGTAAAGGTACATTGAAATTCTAAATGCTAGCTTACGTATTTATAATTCCAGGTATTCTTCCCGATTGTGGAAGAATCATTCTACTACATTGTTGTGTTTGATCTAAAACAACCCTCAATCGTTATCATTGACTCAAAGAATCGCGATGGCAACGTTGATGATATATACGGTCCTAGTCCGGTAATTTTGGTAAGTTTCCAGTATTAGTTATCGCATTCTACATGCTTCATGAGTACCATATTTATGTTGTCGAATTTATGATTGATTCAGCAAGACATGGTGATACTTCACCTTTTGAGAGAGGGCCACGATGCGGGGAAGGTTTATGCTGAGATGGATCAGGAGCGAATAAGGACAAGGTGGCAGTCAAATGAGAGCTCAGTTGATTCGGGTGTAATGATGATGCAACATATGGAGACGTACTTTGGAGCCGATGGAGGGAAATGGGAATGCGAGCTTTACAAAGAGAGTATGAAACAAAAAAAGCAGCTAAAGGATCTACGAACAAAGTATTGTTTGAAGATCCTACTCAGTGACGAAAACATCCGAAAGACATCAATCATAAAGGAAGTGGAAAGATTCATTGCGATGGAGACGTGTGGCTACCCGAATCGGTCGGGGGAAGATGTAGACGACATATGTAGTTGGATTTCTCAATGCTTTTTGAATATTTCGTATTCACCTTATTTATAGTACATCAATTGATGCTTCTGATAGTGCCTTCGGTGTTATCGCTGCATTATGTACATCTTATGGTGTTTTGTTTTAAACCTCAAAGTATGATACACTATTTCTACTTTTTACTTCCTCGGTGGATTGATATATGAATAGTTGGAATCAGATTGATAATAGGGACTAACTTGATTCTTTAGCATTGCACTTACTTAAAGACTTCAAGTGATCCTGCTTATTTTTTGTATTTCATAAACTGCAAGGTTTCTTGGTACCATGCGTTTTTCTTTTGGGTTTTTGCATGTGTACTACTACCTGATTATTCTCGTACGCTGCATTTGGTACATGGGAATATATTGGACAGGGCAAAAACTTATCATTCCATGTTTATAACTATTATATGATTTATAGATACGTTAGACAGGTTTTAGGGGCATTCTGATCATTTTAACAGTCTTGTCATGTCTTGTCCAAATTACCAAACACTGTACAGGCAACTTGTTTAGTCATGTTTTAGTTGAACCAAACACCATACAGACAACCTGTCCTGTCGATATCAGTCTTCTCATATATGTGTACCAAACTCTACCTCAATGGGCATTGTTACAATAATTGTTATTATAGTCTTTCACTTACTCGACGCAACTGCATTGTAGCTGCCTTTGGTTAGGATATCCATATTTATGTTCATGCTATTAAGCCTATATTGGTAACTGTCATCTTCATGACAATCTTAATGTATTGGAGTTTGATGTCAAATATCATATTCTCTTGCTTGGAACTTGATTACAGCACAATGGTTATGCATACTCATGATTGTTAAATTGTTAAAATGATTCATTTTGAAATCTGACAATGGCTTCATTTTCAACAATTAATGAAGAAAAAAATCATCGGGATGCTGGCGTCAAGTCTGTGAAATTGCATGATGAAGGTGCAGTGGAACTACGGGATCGCAACAATGTTGTACTGGTCTCCACGTTGCATAAGCAATTGACTGAAGATCAACCTTATAACTTCCAGGTACTTATCCCACTTGATCGCATACATAATGCATTAGTTCTTCAAATAAATCACATATCTATGATTGACCAAGATGTAACGCCTAACTTTAATAATGCATATTTTAGTTTTTATGCTACGAAATGGAGTTGATAGTTTGTTGTTGCAATGGATAGCTGTTGTGATAATATATAAGTATGCCATTTCCATTAGTTACTTGATGCATGACACAAAATTCTCCCTCAAGTGGAAATTACATTTCTAGATCACATGGCATCTACAACACAGCTTTTTGCAACATTCAAAGAAGGATGTTGTTTGTTAACTGATCCAATTCTAGAGATTCCTGCATCATGCATGCTACAATGAACATAGGCTACTTTCTCCAGGACAATGAAGGCACTATCAAAAACATCAACTGCTATATACAACATCCATAAGAATTCAATTTTCATATGTTTAACCAACTCTAATAATAAGATAAGGACCGTCAAAAACCTTTAAGTTCCTAACAAGATAATGTTTATGACAAGTAGATGATAATCGTATCAAAAAACATACGCCGAAAATGTCACACGAACAATACGTCAACAAATTATAACGAAACGATAACACTCCTAACTACTTGAATTGTAACTAATCTACCAATTCTGGGCAATTACGTGAGTCATGACCACTACGTTATCCACATGTTGCACATTTTCGTTTTGATTTTTTGCTATTAGTCTGGATTTTTTCAGATACACTTACCAGTCTCGCATCCCTTGTTCCTAATGCCAGAAGGTGGTAAAATATCCACCTCATCCGGTATGGAAACACCTAGGTGCTCCCTAATTGCATCCAACTTCTGTTGAGATGGGTCTTCATATGGAACTTCCTTCTCTATATCAACCATAAATGTGTTGAGATTTCTTTCCAATCTAGCCAATATAGACTTATCATTCCGGGCGATGCTTATGATCTCGTCGACCTTCGAATATACATCAATGATACACTTTTCTTTTTCAGCATCAACCTCGCCGTAACGAACCCTTGCAGATTGTATCTGTACTGGGACTAATTGTCATTTCCGTCGCCGTAACACATATCTATCCGGTATGAATTCAACTTCATCGTTTATCAATACCTTGAACGCGTGACGACAAAGATAATCATTACGCGTGAATAGGTTGCACTCGTATTCGACGGTGTCTGTTGAGTAATTACGGTTCACCTAGATTACAAAGGTTTGCAAACAACCACAATCAAACATAAACTTCGAAAACATAAAAAAATATTGTTGTGTGGATTAGGGATATGATACCAGATATGTGATGTTCTCGGATGATTTCTTGGTTTTGTGGCTTATCACAAATGACTTTAAGACATCCCGGCATTTGATGTTCTCTATAGCACAGCACCAGACATCCTTCTTTATCTCCTTTTGTATGTCAAAAAACACATTCCGACTGTATATGCTTGATGCATAACTTTCTAAACGCAACGGAGTAACAAATTTTGGATTAGTGGTTCTCGTTACTGTTTCATGAACAGGTTGTCTGTATCTTTGTTTCTCTATAGCTACGTCGTAATTATTAAGGAATTGAACCAAATCAAACCAGTACGATTCGTATATATTAATATATGAATTCGAACTCTCGGATCTTGAGGTTGTTTTCATTAGACCAGACATTGGCGTGTTCTTGTAAAAGGCAGGAATCAACGAGTGTCGAATTGCATACATATCTGTGAACCAAGTATCACCCCCCAGATTGTATTGCTCGATCATCTCATGCCAACGATGCTCGAACTCCGCTGGTCCAATATGTATGTTCCATACGAGCTTGCTGATTACTTTATTAAAATTAGGATCTTGATTTAGTGCGACACTGACCTGCGTGTATATGGCAACCACTAATGAAACAAATAAAACATAAACATCATTTAAAAACACATAGCATTACGTACATACTACTTACCTTTGAAGGCACCTTCTTCATAATGTGCCACATACAGAGTATGTGTTTGGCTTCCGTAAACACCATCAGGATAGCTTGCTTCATTGCAGAACATTGGTCTGTAATGACGAAAACTGGTTGCTTCTCATGACAGTTTAGGAAAGCCTTTAAAACCCATGTAAAGTTCTCGATTGTCTCGCCACTGATTAGAGCGAACCCGATGACAACGGAAGCCTTGTGATTGTCAACGGCCAAAAACGGCACGAAAATCATGGCATGCCTGCAACACAAATCAACGAATTAGTTGTACCTATTTCTTCCCACGTCATGATTCCATAAAAATAGAAATGCGTAATAATCTTTAAAAACTCTATCGCACTATGAATATTACTTGTTCGTGCGAAACGTCCCGTCGAACGATATGACATCACCGAATTCTTTGTACTTGATCCTAGAAACTTCATCTGCCCAGAAAATTGCGATCAACTCCTGTGCATTACACTTGTATTCGAATAAATAACCTGGTACAATATCACGTCTATTTGATAGTTTATTGATCAACATCTGTGCGTCCTTATTCCCAACACAAGCAACAGCATCCCTCTTAAAATTCTTGAAATCAATTTCTGAAACTCGAGTATGCTCAAACCCCCCGTTCAATGCCGTTTGAATACGATGTGCCCTTCTCGCACCGACTTTGTAACTCGAGCTGTTGAGTATAGTCTTGAAATCCGTACACTTCATCTGTCTATTCTTCCTAGAGAAACGACGATCGTTAACGTTGAACAACGCATGGTTATGTGCCTCAACAAACTCGTATATCTCGTAACAACCCCCATCCTTCGTCAAGTGGATTTTTAGACATGCATTACATCCACAACGTTTTAGGTTCGTATCGCGATATCTCCTCTCACCGGGCTGAATCTCCAAAGAATTAAATTGCCTTTTGTTTGGGTTACCCTCTCTACTACACACAAACCATCTATTTTGAATGTTTCCGTGTTTGTTTGTTTTTTTTTTTGCATGTACACGAACATCAAATCCGGCCTTGTCCGCGTAATCTCTGTACATCTTTTCAGCATTTTTTAAAGTTGCATATTGTGCGTTCGTCTTTGGCTTAAGCGCGTCATCCACAATTGGGATAAAATACTTGCTTCCTTCTATGGTCTCGCCAATATCATATTCAAAATCGGGATGTGGAGGGGTGAGATCATCAAAACCTGCTTGTAAAGATGTAGTTAGTCTTGAAAACTAAAGTTATTATTAAACAAACTAGAGAATTCAAAAGATAGCACGATGATGCAAGGTTTCATTTCAATTTTGGTGGGCAAGTAAGTTTGCATCTCCATGACTTAATCACAATAGGTAGTGAATATCACTGTATAAAGTGAACATAATGTTGAATAATCGTAAATATTATTTATCATGCATTTCCATCGTATATAAAATATGAATACTTTTTTTCAGCTTTTAAAAATATTTACAGTTAAAGTGTTATATCTCTCACATATATTAGCTATTACATGAAATAATTGTATTGTGACAGTCTGCATACATCTTACACATCAACCTCTGTATGAGATATATCGGGTTCGTTTTGCTTGGTTTATGAAACGTTTTGCTTTGTTGGTCTGTCATCTTTTTGGCACTATTTAGAGCAGGCAGGAAAAACTAACATCAATCCATGGGGCCTTCAAAGGAGAGTGAGTTGAAATGTTTCAAGTCGAAAATCCTCGACATAAATCAGTTTTACATAGAACTAGTAACCACCATTTAGAGCTGTCCATTACCGGGATATAGTGAACATAATGGACAGTAGCTATGTGTTCATATGAGTAGCTTTCCATGTTGATTTTAGACTATGTAATGAACAGTAGGTGTTCATGTTGTCTTTGATCTGTATAATGAACAATGTTTGTTCATACAAGTGATATATCTCCCAGACACAATCACAATGTGGTCGGTTAAGTAGCACACACGCAACACTTCCCGATAAAATGATTATAGGTTTGGTTATGTAGGACATAAAAACAGAGAGGTTCTGGGGGATAAATCACACCGTCTACGGCTATGTATTTCAGTGTGTGTTAACAAGACCGATAGCACATTGATTCAAAATTGTTCATACATATATGGAAAGTAGTTGTTCATACATATATCTTCATTTTGTTTCACTGTTTGCAGTAGCAATATGTTCAAATGAGTGGCTGTTCATGTTGATTTTAGTCTATTATGTAATGAACAGTAGCTGTTCATGTTGTCTTTAATCTGTAAAATGAACAATAGTTGTTCATAGAGGTGATATATCTCCCAGACCCAATCACAACGTGGTCGGTTAGGTGACACACACGCAACACTTCCCGATAAAATGATTATAGGTCTGGTTCTTTAGGACATAAAAACAGAGTGAAAGCATAACTTATATTGTTTATACTTGTGTCATTGAATCTTGGAGTTAAATCCCACCGTCCTTGATTTGTTCGTGTGTACAGCAGAAAAACAAATGAATTTTCCGAACATATCAAACACCAAAATATACAGACGATGTTCAACATGTCAACAACAGTCATTGCAGCAAGAATAGTAGATAATTCTTGAAGGTAACAGCTGTTCATTTAAACGGAAGAAAAGAATAATATTGAGCACATACCAATATGAACAGTTTGATCATTTTCTTCACTTTCGAAATTCGAATTCCGAATGTATTCGTAGACGCTTTTAGCTTTTTCGTTCTTATTGTCGTCGCTCTGTTTTACTGTATGATCATCCATATTACTCGAACTATAACATAATCTTTACACAAGAGACTTTTTTCAAATTTATAATATCAAAACCATTTTATGAAGGATATATGTAAAAAACATGAAGATGAACAAATGTGAAATTGATGTCATTATTAAATGAAGATCAATTAGTGATATTTTAAGATTTGTAACTTCCAATTAAAATATTTGGGAGTTACATAAGAATGACTAATGATTTAAATACCATTATCATTAATATGTGAGTTACATTTGAACCAAACTAAAAGATGAAACACGATTGGTTGATGTTGGTTAGCATAGTTAGTACAAAAAAATGGATTAGTATTTGAACCACCCTATATATATATATATATATATATATGGAGAGAGAGAGGTGAATTATTATACAGTCCTTTATATTTGTACAATCAATAAAACTCAATCTCAACCGTCCATTTAATTTGATAAATATGTGATTTTATAAAAGTTTTTATTATTTCATAATATAAAATATTGATGAACTCTAATCATCTTCCATCAATATTCAAATCATAATAAATGAACTCTCATAATTTTCATAAATATCTCAATTAATTGGGTTGCATTAGTTGTATAAATGAATATAAATGCATTTGAAATATACCCTATATAATATATCATATATATATATATATATATATATATCTTATTTTTAATAAATTTAAATATTTTTCAAATTTATTATATAATTGTAAAATATGTAAAGATAGACAATGATGTCAACATTCCAATTGCGGCGAACTCCAAGTTATCGTGGAAATTGGTTGACTATTTTCTGTCAATATGTTGACTTTTATTTTGACTTCAACTTCCAAGTCCCGATAACAATAGAATCCCAAACTTCCACACAAATTAAATCTTAACCGTGTGATCCGAATACAATCAAACAGTATTCAAGTTGCCACGTTTCTTTCCCTTATTGGTTGCTTTTACTTTTCCGAATTTCTTTTTTTGGTAATGCCAAGACGGGTGAAGGAATAAGAAACCGCGATCGCGGATCGAAACACAAGATTTGGATAGAGACGGGTTGTTTTGACTGTTTGATCTCTTGATTTTTGTTCTACCAAACTAGGTTTTGTTGTTCTTTCCGAATTTGCCGTTCATATAACCTCACTGAATCCAACGGCAATCTTAAACCCGATCAATTCCGGTGGTTTATAGGGTTTCGAATTTATATTTGAAAGAAATGGTGAATTCGATGGTGGAAAGAGCAACAAGCAGCATGCTTATTGGACCTGACTGGTCGATGAACACTGAGATCTGTGATATCTGCAATCATGATCCTGCGTATGTTTTCTCTCCTTTTTTATCTTGTTCATTTCTAAATTATGTTTGGTCATACGAAGTGATCTTGTTTCTTTATCTTTTGCCTGTAATGTTGAACGAAAAACCCGGTGTATTTTTTTTCTTGTTAAAAGTTTGAGTAAGTTTTGAAGAAACGGATTACTTTGGACTTAGAGGCTTTGTAAGAATGGAATATTTAGGGCGTATTTGGTTATGATTTGTTAGAACTCAATGATCTGAGTAAAATTAAAGAAATTAGATTGAAGTGGAGTCGGGATTTTTTAAGTTTCTTTTTCCTTTCGAGCAATATTAGGTACAATTATTAACTGTAAAAATGAAATCTAAGATATTTGGGGCTGTTTTTGATACATCCCTATAATGATTTGAGTTGAAGTGTCCTACTTCTTTGCTGTGAAAGTTATATAATCTGGTGTGAAGTTTAAGAAATTGGCATAATGGACTAGAAGTTAGGCTCATGTTGGAGGCTTTGGAGGTTGCTTTAAGAAAGGGCCGATCCAATCTTTTTGTAGGCCTTGTTACACTTGTATCAAAATTATAGATTTGAGTGAATAACTAATAAATAAAACAAGATATAATTGTTTATACCGGATGTTATATCGAAAGTTTTACAAATTAAAACAAAAAAGATGTCTTGATAAAGTAACACACAAAATTTACTTAAATAGAATCATTCTTCTAACATTGTTGCAAACAAAATCTTCAACAAGTTCTCATAATCAACTTTCTCCAGTAAGTCAACATATAAGAGTTTACCAACTGTTGTTTACCTCAAGTTCTCAAGAAACCCTAGGGCGAGTTCTCCTTCACTCTCAACTTTGGTGCATGTTTTCAAAGGGCTATAATGATCTGAACAAATGATGATTAGTATCGTGATAAAGAAGTGAGGAAATTGCATGCGAGGTTGCTCATCGAACAAAAAAATAAAGATACAGAACAAGAAAGTACTAAATAGGGTCATAATTGGTGCTTCAATCATAAAATAAGCCATCGGAGAAACAAAGATGAACGGGACTAGCCTATAGGAGAGTTCAATCGTCAAATTAGAGACCAAAGAGAAGGGATTGAAGATCTGCAATCGTAATCGGCAATTGGCAAATCTAGTTCAATCTTCAAATTAGAGACCAAAAGAAAGGGATTGGATCATTGGACTAAACATTATAATTTGCCAAATGGGCTAAAATAAGAGGCAGAAGGCCATAGCGATTGAGTTATTATAATAGAGTTCCAAAAAAGTTCGGGGGGAATCTCACATTGATACACCCTCCATAACGGACTTCCTTTAAACCTTGCTGTAATTTGGGTGTCGTTCTATTTTTTTATACCCTTCTTTTAGTTTTGGTATGATCTGCTGTTGAACAACACACAAGAATGGATGCATATATGATGTATCGGTTAAAAGTAATAAATATTGTGCAATAGATAGAGTAAGGGGAAAGGATGCTTTTGATGCAGATATGAAGTGTATATATATATGCTTGTGTGTATACTATTTTTGACAGATCTGCTTGTCATTGTCTAAGGGAGTATGCTGAGGGGGTTAGAATTGCTATCTGTGTCTTATTTTGATTTTTGTATCACAGATTCGTTGTTTCTTTGGTGCTTGCTTGGAGTGCTATCTTACTAGTAGTAGAGCTGTTTTCTATTTAAGCTTCCTTTTTCTCCTTTTATTAAGCATAATGATTTGCCGTGTCCAAGTGATTGTTTCAATCGTGTCCAAGTGATTGTTTCCATGATCAACCATGTTTTGGTTGATCATTCCTAGTGCCGAAAGGACCATATAGATATCCATGTCTACGTATACATGACTTCCTCGAGAAATGTTCTGCAGGATTATGGTTGAATTTTCTTTTTGTTGTTTTCAGATGAGATCTTAAGATTAATGAAAAGGTGGTTTGTCAATGATCAACAATGCTCACAACATTTGTACCTAGAGTGCCTTGTGCTTTCTAAGTTTTTCTATAGGCTGCATGAAGGTAGGAATGTAATTAATTGATCAAGGACTATCAGCTTAGTCGGGCCAGCTCTTTGAAATAAAATTTGTTCTGTTTCTTATGTGATAGCATGTTGGCAATCAAAGATAAAGTATTTATGCATATTTTTATTTTTAGCTGATATACAATCTACTCTTTTTATTGCTAGCTTGTATATTCATGCATTTGGCATTAATATCGATGTGATTGTTATTCAGGCAAGCAAAGGATGTTGTTAAAGGCATTAAAAAGCGTCTTGGAAGCAAGAACCCAAAAGTTCAGCTTCTTGCATTAACAGTAAGCACACAGAAAACTAAGTCCTATCTTTGTAGATCTTCTATCAATCACCTTGCAGTTAGATCCAATCTCTAGTAGCTCTTGAGGGTCATGATTTTGTTGCATTGAGTGTTTGTGATTATATCTCATCACGAGTTTGTTTTTTATTGGGCTGAGTAAACAACTAGGAAATAGACTTGTACCTTGGTGACAGCTTTTCTCCACCTGATATAGGATTCTTGGCAACTGAAGTTCCACATAAACTGAAGAACAACTCTGCTTAACGATATTTATTTGCCTTTCTGTCTTCACACATTCTTCTTATTCTTGGTTGAACTACAAGACTCAGTTGAACTTAAGTGTGCCATTTGAATTTCTCCCCATAAATATATATATACACACACATATGGCACTGAATTTGTGAAATGCTAAGAGTGAAATGTTCTTCTACAAGGATGCCTACCTCCATACCAACTAGGCTAACTCCATGAGGACTAAAGAAAGGGAGGGGGCTTGTCTGTGGCATAGCGCTTCCATAAGCACCATTGATTATGTGTATTCCACAATCGAGAGGTTTTCTATATATTTATTAAGCTATGTAACTAGATCCACATAAGGGGATGGAATGATTTTCAGACTTGTCAATTTACTCAGAAAGGTTTGCCTTTGCTTTCTTCTCTCTCTTTCTGCTTTTCTATTTTCTTCTCTATAAATTGGTTTTACTATTGTTCCTCAGATATCTAAATTGAATAATAGTCCGTGCACTTGATTTGGTAGAATTCAATATTTGGAACCTAAGATAGCTTCTAAGCTTCAATGGTTTATGCTAAATGTTTTTGAGATGATTGAAAGATGAATAGTAATATATATTTTCTTTTTTATTTAGTTATGTGGGGACATAATGTGTTCGAATTAGATTGGAAATCCACACTACTAAAGTTGTAGCTTGATCTGAAGAAATAATGATCTACGCGTGTCTGAATTCACATAATAATTGTCAACTTGTTTATTGTGTTTAAGCTATTGGAAACAATTATGAAGAACTGTGGGGATTTTGTCCATATGCATGTAGCTGAGAGAGATCTGCTTCATGAGATGGTGAAAATTGTAAAAAAAAAGGTTAGAGGTTACTTAAGCAAGTTGATATCATGATATCCCTTGGTAAATTGTTGCATGACATAACTTGCTATATTGCAGCCTGATTTTCATGTAAAAGAGAAGATCTTAATTCTAATAGATACTTGGCAAGAAGCTTTCGGAGGGTCAAGGGCAAGGTATCCACAGTACTATGCAGCATACCATGAATTATTGGTAAGTTATATGAGAAATTTTTGGTGGTTGATCTTTTTCGATTGAGATTTCATGGATTCAACATATTCTTTGTGTATCTTGAACTTGGAAGAATTTGATTTGGGCTTCTAAGACCCAGACTTGATTACTTGTTTCAGCGTCTGGGGGCAGTTTTTCCACAGAAGTCTGACAGATCAGCAGCCCCTGTCTTAACAAACCCACAAACGCAGAGTAGATCATCATATCCAAATAATCCAGAAAATGGAAACGAAGTAGCTGAGTCTTCTGTGGAGGCTGAGTTTCCACCCTTGAGGTATATCATGAAGTTGCATTTCAATTTTTTGTACGGAATTTTCCAGAGAGCTGGTATTTGCTTGTTCATTTAAGATTCGCTTGAATATCGTTTCATGGCAAAATCTGTTTGAGTAATTGTCAAATTAACGTAAGGTATGACAGTACTTTACCATGTTTACATACAATTTTGGTTATCGAAGAAACTTAAGTGAAAGTCTATAAAGAGAAAAATGCTCAACCACTAGAAGTTACATGTGGGGCATCCTGTAATGGAATATGCCATGTGTCATGAGAATCATTGTCTTCATGAGAAGCATTTACAAGCAGGACAGACAGAACATTCGTGCTTATATTAATGAGTTTTTTATTCCTGTTGGTTTCTATTTTCATAGAAGTTCCTTACATCCTGGAACTCCTCAACAGAATATCACGAGCTGATTACTGGACCTTGCAATCTGGGTGAGCGAGTGGGTCTTAGACTCTTATTTGACGACATTTTGATGCCTTCAATTCTTTTTCTTGTTGACTGTAATCTTCATCTTCAACACACTCTGATATCTTCCGTCTTATTCTTAGTTTGCCTTTCTCCTTTCTCCATCTTTCTTCTTAATGGTAGAATCACTATCTGAGAAGGAAAGTACGGGAGTTGAATCAACAAAAGTTCATGGTAATGATGATGTGTACTGTGTACATTGATTTTCTTTCTTATTTGTCTTTTTATTGGAGTTACAGATTTTTGATAGTAGCCAAAAAGAAAAAGAAAAAGGCCCTTACAGTAAATGATACAGGTCCTGGTGAGAAACATGTACATATATTCTTGTATCAAACAGTAGCACATTTAATGTGTTTTTCCTACCGAGAATCAATATCATATACTTTCAAATATACCTTAATAGTTATATTAAATAGGATACAAAGGGTTGCCTAGAGTTGTACCTAAGCATATGAAAAATATGTAACATGGTATATAACATGAAAAATGCATAGGGAGCCTAGAATGGTGCCTTTGTCACCTAGGTACCAAGGCTTGGGGAACTTCTTGGTTGCCCTTGGTGCTGTTACAACTACAATAAACTGTTAGCTACAAGAAACTGTCACCTAGCACAAGCCTGAATCTTTTTTGGGCCTCATGGATACACCCTGTACCCGCTTAAAAAGCTTGTGCTCATTTTCTGGGCTTTCCGTTATCTTTTTCTGCGGTTTTTCTAAGAACATCCACATATAGGGAAGCAGAAATTTGCAATCCATACCCTAATTTGTCAAGATAGTAATTAGGATCGTGATTAGAAAGTCTCACTTTCTTTCTGAGTCAGCAGTTGTCTAAATATTGACCTTGCTAAAACTCAAGCAGTTTCTACGGCTACCTTGTTATGACTTCACTCCAGTCACTAGCCCTGTCTTCAGCATCCCCCTCCTTGCGGTTAAAGTAACAACTTCGGGCATGGCCAACTCCCCGTGTGCCTGTTGAAGAATGAGCCAACGACCCCCTTTTTACATGCCTTCTGTGGAGAATGTGGTCAGAAATCCATAATAGAGTCCGACCACAACGAGCGAATTGATTATCTTCATGCATAAGGGAGGTAATCGCGATGAATAGTTAGGTTCAATTCCTACTGGATGCACGCCACATGTTTTATGGATGTATCATCTCCAGCTTTTCACTTTTCTCACGATCAAATAACTAGCATTTTGTTCGTTAGATTTCTTCTGCCAGTCTGTCATATTGCTGGTAGCTTCTGAAGTGGTGTAACATTGTCTCAGATATTCACCTGTCACCCTGGTTTTGGTGTTTACTTGTTCTGATGTTGGTATATACATGTCTGAAATGAGAAACTAACAATCATGCATCTGAGGTTGTAAATTGTTGCTTGAAGCAATGATTATGTCTTCTTAAAATGAAAAATCGTCTGTGTTGTTATCATCATGACTCATGAGTTGATCTGCTTGCATGGTATCCATCCATCTTATACGAGGTCGCCTACATTCATGTTGTCATAAACTTTTGCTTATTCTGTGTCTAATTACATTTTTCCTTTTCAGCTTGACAGAACTCCAAAATGCACGTGGGATCATGGATGTCCTTGCCGAAATGCTGACTGCAATAGATCCAGAAAAGAAAGAGGTAAAGTTTTCCATTGTTTTAGTTGGTATATATATCCTAGTGGTTCATCTTACAAGTTAAATCATGAAAGCTACATAGGTTTTCTATTAAAAAAACTTAGTAGGAATATATATTCTAATGGTGCTTCTTACGAGTTAAAAGCTACATAGATATACTTTTCGAATTTCCGGTCTTGTAATTAGCAACTTTATTTTTGTCCCACAGTCTCTGTTTGCTCCAATTTTACGATCTCTCCCCATAACTTCGATTTGAATCTCCCTTTGTATATTGGGATCAGGGGCTTAGGCAAGAGGTTATTGTGGACTTGGTTGAACAGTGCCGTACATACAAGCGAAGAGTGGTACACCTTGTGAACTCAACTTCGTAAGGCCTTGTATAACTTCTCTTACCACATTGTGCATCAACATCTGCTCCTAATAACTTCCATTGCTGGCTTTATTTATTGGTTGTAATTTTTCATCATCATTTGTACAACGAAGCCTTTTCTTTCAAAATTTTGATATGGAAGCAAACTAATGCAAAGCAATAATGATCATGTTCCCTCAGTGATCGAACTTCAAAATAATGTGGCAATTAATGTGTTCCAAGTGGTTTGCCCCTGGGGCTCTATATAAAGATATATTCTCTCTCCCTATAGTGAAGCAACACTTTCAAACTTTGATGCACTGGTATGCCCCTGAGGTTCTATATAACGATCTTATATTCTCTCTACCTATAGTGAAGCAACACTCGAACTTTGATGCACTGGTATGCCAATAATGACCAGAAACGCACATCAGTACAGCTTCCAGTATTGGGAGCACCTGGCTTCAGTACTAGATTTCCAAGAGGGTGTGGCTTCCATCTTCTGAACCTGCCCACTCATCCCTTTTAGATTTGTGTTTCTTGATCAATTGGGTTATGTTTTCTCAATCAATAAAGAAACTGTCAGTCACATTTTTTGCCAGATTGATTGTGAGCTAAGAGAAGAGAAAAAAAGGGGGGGGGGGGGGGAGACTGAGAGAGAGAGTACACATATATGATAGGTGTTGGGTACATCTCTGTCTGTATTTTTCGTCTGTACTGTATATGTATCTGTATCTATGTATGTGTAGATGTACATGTAGTATGTATACAATATATGTATATAAGCATGTATGTACATCTACAGATACAAAAGTATATCTGTATATAAGTGCGCATGGACATGCATATGTATATGTACTTCATATGTCTATATGTATGTGTAAATATGTGTGTTGAGTTTGTCTTCAGAATGCTGAACCTGAGAATTAACTTTATAGTTTATAAAAGTTTTAACCAGCCCAAAGAACAATACCATTCATAAGTATAAAGGGTAATGCTTATATTACAGAAATTTGTAAAAGGATGTATGTGTACATTACAAATTTAGCTGCAGAAATATCTAGTGAAATAACATGTGAAACAGGCGCTGCACACCCTCTATGCATGTTGTAAAAGAAAACTGTTTTAACATAACATAACTGACTGCTGTTGAAAACTTCTGCAGATACTATTGCCCATTTACTCCTTATTGCCTAATATTTTTGTTACTGTAATTTAAGTGATATAATATGGAATCCCTCCATTAATTGCCTTAGTTGGAGAGCACAGCTGTTTTGATCAGTTTGAAGATCCAAGATGAAAGCTCTACGATTTTAATGGCTAATACAATTATTATAACAACATATCTCTATAATTGAAATCACGGATTGTGTTTTAAGAAAATTTGGACGGTGAATAGAATACTTGATTGGATGCTGGGGTGTTAATCTTGTCATTTTTTATTATTGTTTACTTCCTAATTTCCATGTAACATGATATCATATGTTGTCAGCAAGATGTAAATTGGCTTTGGTTTTGCGTGTTTACATTTTATTTAATCCTTATCTGCTGAGCGATACTTTATGTGACAGGGATGAATCACTTTTATGTCAAGGCTTAGCGCTGAATGATGACCTGCAGCGGGTCCTAACCAGACATGATGCGCTTGTTTCTGGAACTTCTGAAAAACCAAAGACTGAAACTAGTCAAGCATTGGTACCTGTTGATACTCTGCTTATTGATACAGGAGACACCAAACAACCTGTGTAATCAACTTTATTTCTCTTCTTCCCATTTAAACTAATGTTTACCCTACAATATCTCATGGAAAATTGTGTTTTCTAATACAATTGTTTTGCTTTCCTAGGTTGATGTAACAATGGCAATTTGTTATTGTGCTTTAAGATTGCTGGTCAAGTATATTTGACTTATGTTTATTGTGTGCAGGTCTGGTGCTGGTGCTAGTGCTGGTGCTGGTGCTGGTGCTGGTGCTGGTGCTGGTGCTGAGTTGCTTGCCATAACTCCTGTTACAACCAACGGACCACCAGCAACTCCAGCGAAGGTCAATCCCAAGTTTGACCTCTTGAGTGGAGACGACTTTAGCTCACCATCTCCTGAAAATTCCTTAGCTATCGTACCAATAAGTGAGCCTGAACCAACTGCTGCTCCTGCTTCTCAGCACAATGCGCTAGCCCTTGTGGACATGCTTTCACAAACTAACGTGCCAAATGGTTCGGCTGGACAAACATATTCTTCACCTCAATTTCAACAGTCACAAAATTTTCCGTCTCACCAATCCTCACTTTACCTGAGTGCAAGTATTACTAACACTGTGCCACCCCAATATGAGAACCAAGGATCTAGTTCTTCATGGAATGGGCAAATGCCACAACAGCAGCCGTTGCAAGACCCGTCTTTACCTGCTTATGGTAAGAAACTTTTTTGTTATGGACTCATCCTCCCATTTTCCTAACTACTTCAGGTATTGCCTATTTTTGTCCTAGACGTGTTTGCGATAATGGCAACCAAACGAGGCTAGTATACCCACCTTTGGGAAATGAAGACGTATATAGATCTGGCCTTTACCTCAAAAGAGTAGAGTGGCTGTTGGCTTACAGACAAATAAGGTTTACTATGGCCAGGATGATGTCCAGTTGATTAGCTTATGAACTAACTTTGAAAGATGCAGTTAAGAAGGGAAATAGGAATTTTTTTTAAGAACATTCTTTCAGAAACTGAGTTTAATATTGGGTACAGGGTCATGGATGATGCTACCAAAGTTGCCCCATATGGATGAAAATCATGTTTCAGTTGTGCATTAGGACTTGGTCGTCGTATGATTCTGCTTGCATCATAACTCTTTATCAACTTTTGTTGGATATATCTACAGGTGCACCAAGCAGTGAGGGACTACCACCGCCACCCTGGGAAGCTCAGTCAACTGACGATAACCAATCAGGAGCAGGAGGCCCTCAATACTCTCAACCTCAAGTATTGCAAACCAATGATCAGGGAATGGGCATGTACATGCAGCCGTTGAGCAGCCAGCCTCAGGCTGTGTACCCTCAACAACTACTCCAAGGACAACAGATAATGGGTATGATCCCACATCAGCAAATTCAAATTCAAGCTGCTCACATGTATCCTCAACCAATGGGTCACCAAATGCAAATGGCACAACCATATGGCTATGGATATGGTGTCAGTGGCTATGGATACGGGCAGCAACAAAACGCTCAGTTCCTTGATCAGAGAATGTCAGGGTTAGCTGTGAGAGATGATGGTTTTGTGAACAGTAGTACGGTTTACACAGGTCCTTCTATGGCTAATGCATCGTATGTGCACGTGCCATCTGGGAAACCTATGAAGACAGAAGACAAGCTTTTCGGAGATTTGGTTGATTTCGCCAAAGTCAAGCCCAACAAAACCACTCCTGGTAGAGCTGGGAGCATGTGATCCTTATATACTTGCTTCTTTTTTGAAAAAATGATTTCGATTTTATAGTCTTATTTCGGGATTTGTATTTGTTATTTTCCTCGCATTTATGTACATCACATGTTTGAGGAAACTGAAAACATCTCTCTCCAATAATGCTTTTCATGCTCTTGTGTTCATTTTACTGGGGTTTTGTTTTAATTCGAAAAATAACATTTCAATAACGCTTGATTTCATTCCAAATCTCAGAAATGTAAAATGTAAAATCAAACACTTCTTCATAAATCGTTCGACCAAGTAAGTTATAGAATAAAAGGCTGAATCAAACCAAAAATAGTTCGGTTTTCAGTTTTGTTAACAACTTGGGTTGAAACAGTATGAGCATGCTTCTGTGTTCCTTCAAATAATAGTGCTTTTTGCTTACAAACGCTACTACTTATTATCATGCAAATAATACCACATAGTCAAGGTCAAATATGAGTGCATTATTATGACTGCTAAAGAGAGGTCAAAAACAAACCCAGTTGGTCAAATATAACATTTGCTGTTGTGAATAGTGAAGAAAACAAACAAACAAGTAAACAGACATGTCAGGGCAGTCAGTTTGCTAATAGAGAAATGGCACCTCCAGTCACTTTTTGCTGTCATAAGGGCATAGAGATACCTGCAAACAAAGGAAACAAACGTTCCTCAGATTACATGTTCTGATAACCGTTAGCCAAGAAACAAGCAGAATGATCAAAAGAAGTTCACGTTCGTACTAATTCCCACACTGAAAGCTGTTCTACCACTTTTTAGCAATCATCAATGATTCAAGATGCAAAAGTTTTGAGTTTTTACATCCTCTCCATAAGACATTTGTGTATATTCCAAAATATGTCGTATCTACTATGCTTCTATTCTACTCCCGAATAAGTTCTTTATTTGTTCTAAGCAAGAATTTTAAAAATTTCCTTACAGCTTCATTCATTACACATAACCTAACTGTTAATTATTTCCTCCTTTTTTAAGGCTCTAACTTCTCCCCTACTCTTGACTTTATTTCAGTCACAGCCCACAACTTTCAGCCCGAAGCTCACTCTTCCCTTTAATCTTAACTCACCATTCTACATTGGAGATGAGAGTTCTACCATGGTTATGTTGGAGGCTAGGAATTCATCTCATTCTTGTCCTGCAATGTTGCGACAAGAAGAAACCTCAACAACAAAGTGGGAATTCTTAGCCAAGAAGAAATGGAGACGATGAGATCACTTCTTACTGGCATATTCAGGTAAACATCCTTTTCCTGTTCGATTAAATGCCCTCTGATATAATCTTTATCAGTTCATCGACTCACGAGTTATTGATCATATGACCCTTTCATCAAGTTACCCTCCTATGCCCCATGTCCAATTAATGTGAAAATATTCGCAACCACCCTAGCTGGTATAGGTGATATCAAGATAGGCCCATCATGTCCTTAAGCTAACCACGAACCTTGTTTCCATTTGAATGCTCGCAAAAGATTTACTTGGTATTTCAAGACACGGTTCAGGGAGGAAATGGGACGTGCCAAAAAACAAGATGGACTCTAATATCTTGAAACACCAAGTAAATCAAACACTATCATGGGAACGGCACCTTGTTATGTTGTTTTAGAGTCTGTTTCATCTAAAGAAAAAGTTTGGCTTTATCATCACGACTTGGGCATATACATTATGAGGCATTATCAATATGAAGTATGTGGAAACTTGCTAAATGTATACCAGTAAAACCAAACCAACCCCGTATATCCCACTCAAAAGTAGGGTCTGGATGTAGGCAGACCTTACCTTAACCTCTAGGATCGAGAGTCTTCATGCACGAAGCAAAGGTCTGTGAAAGCAAGCAATAACATACGTAATATGACATGTAGGGAAATATAACAGGTAAGAGAGCCTAACAACAAGAAACCACCAACCTATCTGAAGACTATCTCCCCCAACCTCCTATCCTCCCATCCCCTCACGCCAACAACATTCATACTTGCAATGAACTACCCTAATCCACCGCCTCTAAGTATTCCTATCTGAGATCATTCCCTCATAAAGAACTAAGGGGCTGTTTACTTGCGGCTTAATTAGGCTTATTGGTCTACCTGGCTTATTCACACAGCTCATTTGGGTTGTTTACTTACGCCTTATTCGTACTGAACATGGCTTAATCGCACAGATAGAAATGGTGTGTTGTCCTCATTCAGCCACAAAAATGACACCTCTACCCCTTATTTAAAGCACCACCTCGTTCCCATATGAGACAACCCATCTTCGGCCTCTTTATTGTTTTTGTTTTGATGTTCAAATAATTAATATTGGAGGGTAAATCGGTCATTTATGTTATTCAGACTGTTGGTTCAGATAAAAAAAGTAAACAACACCCATTTATCCACACAGACATATTTATCCATACAGGACTTAATAAAAAATTTGGTAAACAGCCTCTAAAGCCTCCATATTTAGCCTTAATTGCTCATCTCCTATCTCCTCAACCCGCCTAGTCTCGTCAACCCCTCGGCTCTGACACTCCATTCAACTAACAGGAGCCGTCTGTGGTCTCCTACGTAAAGGCTCAAACCACCTCAACCTTCTCTCTCTCAACTTATCTGCTATAGACACAACTTCTAGTTCTACCTTGGAAACCTCATTCGGTAATCTATCCAACATAGTCATGCCCCACTAGTCCACCTTAACATCCTCATCTCTGCAGCACATTTTCCTCTCCTGCGTTTTCTTCATAGCCCAACGTTCTAAACTGTATACGTGTGTGATGTGTCGTTTCCAATTAGTAACAAAAGAAATTCCAGTCCTTTTTACCTTATGTATAATGATAGTTAGGGTCCTCTCTAATGTAAATGGGGCTAAATGTATGATTCAGAAATATATGTATAGATACACTTATACACTGGATAGTATACTCAACTCACGAAATAATAAATAGCACTTAGTAGTGGTGTTTCATGTTTAGTAACATATCTACTATGCTGTTACAGCGGTAAAAATCTGAAATAGCGGTACGGATTGTGACTTGATATAGCAGTTATCGCGGTGGTATAGCGATCCACATATAGCAATTCATGTAACAATTACAATTATATATAAATATATGTATATATAACATATTATATATATTAAAGATGAACAAAACAACACATGAATAGAAGATGGCGAGCAGACAATGTTGGAAGACAGATGCACAATGCTGGAATAGAAGAGATGTGAGAGGAATATTGAGTTTACACATCGATATTGTAATCAAAATCAGTCTCCCAGCTCGTAATCCCTTAATCTACTTCTCTAAACCCTTCCAAAGGCCAACTGAAAGCCTAATCCATAATTTAAGGTTTTCACACCACTATTGCAAATCAAAATCGTGGCCCAATTGCGGTGATTAGCACCGCTATAAGCGGAACCGCTATTTCTCGCCGCTATTTCCGCTAGGACCGCTGATCGCTATAGCACCGTAATTAACAACATAGCATAGAATAATATACATATATATATTATATATATATAGAGAGAGAGAGAGAAGTCCGATGGGATTTTTAATTAAAATCTTGGCACTCCATCTCTACTTGATCCAACAACTCAAATTAAATATATTTTTTAATTAATATGATTAGGGGCAAAAATGGGAGTTTATTACAACTTTTTCCGTGTTTTTTCTTTTATTTTCTTAATCAAAAACTTTTACCCCCTTAATTTTTAAACTAAATCATCTTAAATATTTTGATCAAACAAAAAACAAGCATTTCATCCTCTTTGATATGACATCCATCTCGATATAGTTTTCTTTTTCATTTTAACCATTTTTTTACGTGAAATAGTGTATGTGTAATATTCATTAATAAACGTTCATGTACGCTCACGTGTATACAATAGATCGACAACTTAAGTCCATTACTCAACATCGCCTTCTTTAACAACACAAGTCTGTAACCGAAAATACCTTCTTCAACGTCGTAAGTTCGTAACTTGGCACCACGTTCTTACCATTGTAACCCAACACACATCAAGACTGATCAAGAACCCAGCGAGACTAATCGAGACCAACTGAGACTAATAGAACCCATTCATTGACATGGTGTGTGTTTGTGTGTAAAACCATAACCTACCACCTTCATTTTCCATCAAGACTAATCGAGAACCTATTAAGTGATTTATTGTGTGTTTGTATGTAAATCATAACCTACCACTTTCCGCTTTTATCGAGACGGACCGGGAACCATCAAGAAGAATCAGGAACCCATTGAGACAAATCAAGAACATAATAAAGAAAAAAAAAGAAAAACTAGAGTATTTAGGGTTGAAACTATAGTATATTCTGGATAAATAGTATTATATGCATGAATCATGATAAATATAATGGTGAAAATTAATACTTATGATGAATATCATACTGATATGAATACTAGAGAGTTGTATACAAGTGAACATACATAAATATTCATGATGAACAGTATGTATATTGATGATGAATGTTATAATAAAATGTATATTCATGATGATATCAAACTGATGTATGAAAACTAAAAAGTTGTTGTATACACGTGAATATACATAAATATTTATGATGAATAATATGTGTATTCATGATGAATAATATGTATATTCATGATGAATGTTATAGTGAAAATGTATATTCGTAATAAATATTAACAGTGAAAATGTATATCCATGATGAATATCATATTGAATTTTGAATAGTGAAAGTTGTTGTACACACGTGAACATACATGAATATTCATGAAGAATATTATAGTGAAAATGTATGTTTATTTGAAGCGTACGTCATTGTGCTTTTTATAACAATGGCAACACTCTTTCACTCAACTCCCATCTTTTCTTCTCTTGCCCATACTCTTCTTATTTGTGGGAACGGGGGGAAGATAGGAGATCAAATGCAAGATGCTTGGGCTCCTAATGAGTGGTTGCAAATTATATCATACTTCATAACCAAATCTAGAGGAAGGGGTGAGCTATCTTTGTGTTCCTCAAAATATTGCTTCCTTGAACAACAATGTGTTTTATTTGAGAAAAATCTATAATAACAATCCAAGAGCCAGACATTGGTTGAGGTTATTTTTCACTAGTAGAAGTTGTCTATAGAGTATAAAGTTGAAGGACAATGTTCGTAACAGCAACAAGGTGGAACATCCGTTTGGTGCCAACATTAGTTAAGAGAAGACAAGGATGTTGATTAATACTTAAGGGCTATTTCTTGTCGTTTTGTAGAGAACTTGTGTGATCAGAGTATAATTTTTTTGGTTAGTTAGTTGAGGGATTGGAGTTTGTTCCCATCATGCCTTTTGGTTTTGTCAAGATTGCTTCTCTCCTCTTTGAGTTATCCAACTTCCTTATATTACAAAAAATTTCAAACACCAAAGCAGAAGGCTTTTGTTCTTATTGTAGCCCCCACTCCACACATAAAGTACCTTCTTCTATGAACTACACCATAAGATTTTGGAAAAATTACCATAATACCCTAAGAATGTTCTGGGCTTTTTTCGAAAATCTTAAAATCTAATTGAAGGAAGCATAAGTTGTTCAGTTAAATATATAAAACATAATAACCATACAAGGATTACAATTTTTATGATATTACTTAGAGGTGTTCATCGAAACCGCTAAAACCGCCCACACTGCACCACAAAGTGCGATTTAGAACTACCGTGATGCGGTTTACATTTTGCATTTTAAAGTGGTTTTGAGTTATCAAACCGTAGTTCAAACAGCGCCTCACATTTTATATAATTTTTTATTTATATTATAAATTAGATTAGTTTACGTAATATTTTTAGTTTTCTTCGACTATGTTTAATGATGTAATATTTTAGACTTCTTAGACGATCTTTAACTATGTAATATGTATTTGGAAATCGGATGTATTTAAACTTTTTTTTGTTTGGATTACGGTTACATTATCTGATTTTATCATAAGGTTTTGATCTTATAATTATTGAATTGTAGGTGTAAAATGCGTTAGGTAGAAACCGCATAAACCGCACCGCGTTTGGGGTGAGGTTCGAGATCTATGCGGTGCAATTTGCAGTTTGGGAAAATGCTCAAACCGACACCCCTGATATTACTTTCATACAATTACTTTTCTTGAATGACTAGTTTCATTGTTCATCATACAACAACTCAGAAAAAGATTAGAAGCATTCCGTCAAATTTGAGACCGGGATCATAAACAAGTGTAGTAAGAATAACCAACAGCGTTCTCAATAACCATTCATTACCTAGAGGAATCAAACCCCAGCTTTGAGACTCAGCCGAAAGAGCCGAAGTCAGTCGGGAGGAAGCAACTGCACTGTGCAAAGGCATCATTGATAACAAAGAACACAGCTGCACCGGTAATCTAATCAACAAACAAAAAACCAAAATTGTAACTCCATTATTCAACCAAACCCGCAACACATTATAACCAACAGGGATCTGCTACACCCGAACTGAAGTAATGAATTAACATCTACTCAAGGAACACAAAACCCAACCTTGAATCAAATCCACACATAAATTACGAGAAGAGTTATGAAATCAACACGCACGTCCGTTGTTTGTCACAAACAAGCTAAGAGTCATGAATCAGTGGATATAAATCACCTTGAAGTAGCAGAAATGCGTTTTAGTGAGGGATTGGAAGAGCTTGATTTTAATGGTTTTCCATTGAATAGCTTGATGGAAAATCGAGAACATAATCTGGAAACAACAGCCCTTGACGTCGAAGCAGACATTTTTCGTGGATTTCAAAAGGGGTTTATGCGATTAGAAAAGGGGCGGTGAGGCTCTACAAGAGCATTTCACAAGTCCTGATCTATTTTATGCGATTAGGGGTTTAACATTTAGGCCCCGTTGATTTATTAGATTTTTAGCATCCGACGAGATTTGAAACAAGGTAACAAGCAATAATTAACATATTAACTAAAACGATATCGTACATAATAAATTATCCTGTAAATATTTATAGTGAAACAATTGGTATTTTCATTTATCGTGTAATACTTATGGTATTTATCATGTTCATCGATAAGATAAAGTGACCCGATAAATACCTACCAAATAAGCATTCAATAAACGACCTCTGAATTTTAATTCCAAAAGAGTAAAGTTCAATTTTGGTTCATAACGTTTGCACTTTTCAACGAATATCATTCTTGAACTTTTTAAACTCGAATTTGGTCTATTACGATCCCCAATTGATTTTGTGCCTATGTCTAACAGTCGTTAACCTTTTTTACTAAATTCAGTTAAAAAATGGACATTTAGGTCATTCTATGTATTTTTTTTTCCTTAAAAAAATTAAGGGATTACGAGCTAGGAGTTGATTTTGATTGCAATATCGATGTGTAAACTCGTTATTTCTCTCACATCTTTTCTATTCCAGCATTGTGCATCGTCTTCCAACGTTGTCTACTCGTCATCTCTTCTATTCACGTGTTGTCTTGTTCATCTTTAATATATATAACATGTTATATATGCATATATTTATATATAATTGTACTTATTACATGAATTGCTATTTGTAGACCGCTATACCATCGCGATAAGCGCTAAATCAAGTCACAGTTCTGATCGTTATTTGAGATTTTTAGCGTTGTAACAACATAGTATATATATATATATATATATATATACACGTGTTTATTGGGGGCCATTCATAGAAGAATTGAACATTTTTGTGAGCTCCGTGAGGTTCAATATCAAACACAAATCATCTAAAATCAAAAGGTTAAATTAGAAAATAAATAATTTTGACAATTTTGATTTAAAATTTTAAATAAAAGGCATTCTAGGTATTTTAGAAATTTTATCTCCTCTCTCCCATCTTCACTTCGTCGGGAACATTACCATTGTGATATACTCTACGAACATTCTATTGTGATATATTACCATTCAATATACATGTTGTATACATTACCATTCTATATACACGTTGTGTACAGCTCTATTTACAAATGATATATTACTACTGTGATACACTCATGAAACTTTATGAACATTTTATATACATGTTGTTGTTGGATCTATATGCCCCTGACACTAAACATGATGATACTGCTAATGATACACGATCCAAAGGGTCACACACATACAAGAAAATTAATCTCAATCATACGATCAAATGTGATTCAATTATTTTCAATCCAAACAATTGTCATGCAAATAATAATTTCTGATAATAAATATATGTTATATATTTTGACTAGTGTTTAAGTCTAATATTTGTAACAGCCCTAACTTTCAGCCAAGTGTGTGTGTATATATATATATATATATATATATATATATTTATCATAATTTCTTATAAAGTTAAGTTGTTTCTAAAGGCCCTTAATATAAGAACTAAAACAAGGTAAATAACATTTTTAGTGAAAAAAAAAAATTAATTATAGGGATAAATAAGTAAGCAAGCACACAAGTTAACATGAGCCATAAAAATCTTATGACAAAGCAAGTCTACTCTTTATGACAAAGCAAACCTAGAAAATGAGTTGTAAGTGGAAAATAGTTTGTGGCAACCCTAAAAGCTTTACAAGGCAAGGCTAGGAAAGAAGATAAGAATGAACAAGTACATATTGGCATATCCTTAAAAATTTACAAGTTGAAAAGCCAAGTGAACAAGTACCCTAAAGAATGTCATACACCCTATATATAGAAGCTTAAAGGGTTCATTATTTTTCATCCCAAGATTTGGAACACTACCTAAAACCAAAATAAGTAAAGACTAAGAAGTGAGTTAGAAAGCCCAAAGCATGGTATAAATAAGGTGAGTAAATTATGAGATTTACTGGGATACATGCATGCTATATATATATATGTGTGTGTGTGTGTGTGTGTGTGTGTGTGTGTGTTTTATGTATGAAAGAGTATTGACATATCTTCTTGTAAAAGTTATGTTATGATTATATGGCAAAGTACACCTTTTATGTCATGATGCACATATGGTAAAGTACACATTTTATGTCATGATGCACATGTGGTATATGAAAGATTTTATACATGTTAAGTATAACCATTTAAATATCTAATGTACGAAATATAGAAAGAAGGTACGTCTTGCAAACGAACCTTATTAGACAGTCTTTATGTGGACCCGAGGTTAAAGAACCTGTGAAAAGTTGGTTTATTTAACATGTAACCATGAGATCTCAAAGAAATGTTTTTATACATGAAGGTTTATAAGAATTATTTTAACTATTTGGAAAGAATGTTTTATCATGAAACCACAACTACTTATTAATCCAAGATTGATAAAAAGAACAACGATTAAACAATCAACATGATAGTAAAGATTTCAAGCAGTCGGTTGTATATTGATTTCAACATGAATATAGAGAAAAGAAACAATGTACGACTACAAAATGATATTGCAATGATTAGTCTAACATAATACTAGAAAACATGAAATATATTTATACCATTTAAGATATTTACAATTTAAGCCCTTCTACTTTAATATAACTGAAAATATAATTCTAACATCCTCCCACGTTGTACTAAAGCAGCATCATGTGAATCTTCTTCTTCTCAGGCGGAGGCCAAAATATGTTTCAAACCTTCTAAGCATCCTCTGGTACTCTAACTTTTCGGAAATTTGATCCAGGGCAGTAATCATCAGGTCTTTGTCATGAGGATTGATCTTGTCAAGACCTCTTCTTTCCAAATCAAGTTTGTTTGACAACTTTAGTTTTATCATCTTTAGTGTGTTTTCTGAATATGCTGCAAGATCTTTGAATCTCATAAAACGCTTTTCTCTGACATCATTTTGAGTACACAATCCCAAACACAGGCAGCTCTACGATCATGAACATCGGCAGGGATTCAATATCTTCAAGCCTTTGATTCGGTTAAAGGTTCATTTTCCTTTGATTGCTTTCGATTCCCATATGAAGATCAGTCACATAACCTAGCTTGATCTATCTATGCATGAATCGTTTGATAGCTTCAAGAGCTATTTGGATATCTTCCAGTCTGATCATCCAGGTACGGAGCTCTAGGTACATGGTCTCAAAATCGTCAAAAAAGAGGTGTCTGAAGTCAGCTTCCGAGAACTTCCATTCTTTGGAATCTCTTCTCAACACAATGAATACTAGGAACCTAAAATTCACGAGTCTTTCAATATAAATCGTTGTTAGACCCCATAATTCTTATTTGTAAAAGTAAGGAAAAATGCACAGTATGGAAGTTCGGAGGACCGATAGAAGAAAAGCTGGAAAAGATTCTAAGTGCTCAAAAACAAACCAGAGATACAATGAATGGTCCAGAGGTTCGATGAACCAGCATCTCCATTACTCCTCTGCTTTACAGCATCTAAGAGAATCATCAAGTGTTCAATCAGATATACGCTAGTCAAGCATAAACATGAAGAATCTTGATTGAACATACTACCTAGAGTCATCTCCAGTTGGAATTCTATTACAAAAGGTAGTTAGAGATAACTCCATATTTTTAGGTAGATGTCTTTTCTTTGTTTATCTCATAGATATCCTTTACTAGATTGTTATCTCTTAGACTAGATTGCTAGTATAAATAGCTTTCACATGTCTTGTAAATAAAGCAATCCTTCTCATTACCATTATTATAGTGAAATTTCTTGAAAGCTTTGTATTCTCTTGACTATCATACAAGTTGTTCTTCATTTTCTTCATAGATACGATAGATTTAGGTTCTTCAACATAAATCTTCGTGTTATATTGAGAGATCTGGGATCAAAAATTGGTATCAGAGCCAATTGATTGATTTTCAATCAAAACGATCAATTTGAATTTGAGTATTCAAATCTTTCAATTTTTTTCTTCATTCTCATATTTTTTTTTCTTCTTTTCAAAATCTCTTAAATGGCCAACTGGAATTCTGCTTATAGCGATGGTTCTCTCACCAAACCTCCAATTCTTCAATGTGAAGAGTATCCACAATGGAGAATAAGGATGGTAAACTTCCTAGAGGGGATGGACAGGAACCTCTTCAGATCAGTAATGGAAGGTCCCTACATTCCCCAAACTCTTGTCCCAAGGGTTCCTGGCACAAGCACAACTGAAGAAGTAGCAGCTTACTACATGGTGAAAGATGAAAGCAATTAGGATGAGGACGACATAGAAATGGAAGCTGAAAGGAAGGCTAAAAGATTGATTATTATGACCATTCCTAATGAGATTTTTCAATCTCTGGATCCTTATACCACGGCTAAGGAAATATGGGATGAACTTCCAAGCCAATTGGAGGGATGAGCTAAAACTAAGAAAAATCGAAGGGTGCAATGTTTAAATGAATAAAAAAATTTCAAAGCATTGCCTGACGAACCAATCCAGAAGACTTATGACCGGTTCAACACCCTGATAAATCAATGTGTTGATCCCAGATCTCTCAATAACACGAATATTCAAGTTATGAATAACCTAAATATATCGTGTGGATGGAAAATAATGAAGAACAACTCAAGAATATTCAAAGAATAATTGGAGCATCAAAGGATTCACTTTAATTGATTAAAGGAATGGAAGCGTAAACGATTACAAGAAATATAAGACCTATTTATACTAGTAATATAAATAAGGAGATAGCTATCTATGGAAGATATATCGCAAATCTTCTAAGGAAAGATAACAATCTAGACATATGGAAATAATATCAATCTATATAAAGCAATGAGAATCCAGCTGTCGATTTGCCATCTCCAGTTGTCTTCTAGGAGGAGTGTTCAACCATGGGTCTTTGAGTCTTCTTGAATGAATACCTTTGGTTGAACTGTTGTTGAAATATCCAAGTGTTGGTGACCAGAGGGGTTATGGAGATGCGCTGTTCATCGCACCTATGGACCTTCATCGCATC